AACAATACCCAATCGAAAACAATCGAAAATTAGCAAGAATCTCGAAACTAGCAAAACCCGAGCCCCGGGCCCGCTTCTCGAAAAATTACGAAATTCACATCACCGGATTCCTCGTCTCGCCACAAGTCCATACATATAAAATTTACCAAAATCGGAGTTCGTTTGACCCTCCAAATTCCATTTTTACATCATAATTTTCTCAAACCCTAACTTCCATTTTTAACCTTTAATTCCTTGGATTTTCAGTGTTAATCCATGATTTTACACCATAATATCATAATCTAAGTCTAAGAATCCATACCTAATGATAGCCCTCGAAACCCTCTTCAAAAATCGCCCAAAATCTCCTTAGTCCGAAGTCCAAAATGTTTCTTCTCTTTCAAAATCGTGAAAACACTGTTCACTTAAACTCAGCCAGGTTTCGCTTCTACGGTTGGGATACCGCACCTGCGGCTCCCGCTTCTGCGCAAAATAACCGCTTCTGCGGTCTAACTTAAAATCCTCAGGACCGCTTCTGCGGTCACCACCCGCTCCTGCGATGTCCGCTTTTGCGGACTGCCTTCCGCTTCTGCGGAAATTGCCAAGCCCTCAAGGACCGCTTCTGCGATCACAGCTCCGCTTAAGCGGCTCCGCTTCTGCGTTCCAAGACCCGCAGAAGCGAGAATACCAGAAACAGCATGCCTTCAGCTGTATGAAATTCCAAAAACTCCCCGTTAGCCATCCGAAATCATCCCGAGGCCCCTCGGGACCTCAACCAAAAGCACCAACATGACTTAAAACATTATCCAAACTTATTCCAATCATCAAAACACATCAAACAACACTAAAATTATCGATTCTCATCGGATTCAAGCCTAAGTTCTTTAAAAACTTCCGAAACTCGCATTCGATCAAAAACCCAACCAAGCGACGTCCGACTGACCTGAAAATTTGCAAACATATCCAAAATCACCTAACGAAGCTACTGCAACTTTCGGAATTCCATTCCGACCCTCAGATCAAAATCTCACATATCAACCGGATTTCGCCAATTCAAGCCTAATTCTACACCGGACCTCCAAAACCAATTCAGATCACGCTCCCAAGTCACAAATCATCTCCCGAAGCTAACCGGATCATCGGAAATCACATCCGAACCTTCGAACTCATAAGTCAACGTCCGATTGACTTTTCCAATTTAAGCCTTCCTTAAAGAGACTAAGTGTCTCATTTCCTATCCAAACCAATTCAATTCAACTCTAACTCACTCGTTGCTGATAATGAAACATGAAGAAGCAATAAATGAGAAAAACGGGGCGGTAATACCTGATACGACGGGTCGGGTCGTTACACTATCACTAGTGTATTTACAGTGTCATCAATCATATCTGAAAGTCCAAAAAGAGCTCTTAAACTTCCACCAACAGCCCTTAAGATACTATCAATTCTAGTCTTTGGCTTAGAAAGTAAGTTATAATAACATTAAAAGCAGAGAAGCAAGGAATTTTCCGCTAGAACACGACAACAAAAATAATGAAGTTGAAGATTTATGAACTTGAATAGGTATAGAAGCAACCATTGCAGCTTCAATACCTAAGACAATATTCAGATCACCACCCCATCGGAGGTCAATGTCCTTATTTTGGGATAACAGGAGATGTCCCAGCTTGGCGCACGTCAACTATTCAACCGGTTACCTATTACCTATCATTAGCGTAGATATCAGGTAACTCTGCCTACCAAGGCTTAAACAGATAGGAAAAACACCTAGTTTTTGTTATCTCCGATAAGATTTGAACGTTAGTCTCCAAGGTTTGCACCTACTTCATTGACCACTAGGCTGTGGGGTCAATATCCATGGTGCTTTGACCTTGTGTAAGGCTGTAAACACGAATACTTTCTATTTCAGGTGCCAAAGTTCCCAATGATAATTTGCTGAACTTCAATGAAGTAATTCCAGGAGGTCAATAAGTTTCCAAAAGAGGTTCAACAGATTCTCTTATAATAGCCTCTCCTGCTTCGGCAATAAATGGCCACAATTTGCTCGATTGTTTGTTCAACCATTTGACCTGGTCATAAACTAGGAATAACATGCATTCAAGAAAGTTACCGCCACACATATTCTTTAGACCGTCCCTGTTGAGGGAGCCCATTAGTTTTACATCAGCTGCCTTACCGATTCGCTTGTTGTTCCTGTACCTCAAATGTCGTCAAGCTGTCATTAAACTTATTCCGAAGATTATCCCCATCAGAATCCAGAAAACAACCCCATTCTATTTCAACCCAATTCCCTCTTTATTCCCAAAATAATAACTGAGTATATGATAAATACTGAAGCGTCTTGCTTCTCCAACACAGAAATTATTGCTGCTTCCTTCATTCTTTACTCTTTTCAGAACTGGTCTCCACCAAAATGGTGTTTCTTGGCATTCCTTTTCCTCCACAAAGCTTTGAGGCTACAGAAGAAAAGATATCTTTCTTATTTAATTGTACAATGAAATGAACGAGGGTTGGACGGTTAAGCATTACTAACTACCCCGCTCCTGAGAGTGGTCTTTCTGTTTGTTTTGTTCCAACAAGAATGTTTGAAACTTCCTGTTCAGTCAATAGGTTATTGCAATATCCTAAGAAAGATGGAGTTCTTAAGGCCTAATCTGTTAGGAGTACTTCTTTCTTTGAGTTAGATTTTATCATTTCCAGGGAGATGGGTGGAAGGAGATACAGAATACGAGAAAGTAGCTTTCTTCACATGGTGTGGAACAGGGAATGCAATCCTTAAAGCACAACTGCAGATCAAGAAAAATCAGCAGGAATGGAAGTGACTATCTAGTTCCCACTTCAGGCACAGAGTGACCTTTTCACAAGCCAAATTCCCCAAGTGCCTAAACAAAGGACACTGATTCCAGTAAAAAAGGAATAAGTCCTCATTAAATTGACACCCTATGCTCAATTTAGCTTACCATAGGTTGTGAGATTTTAATTACCAGTGTGAAGAAACCTCCAAAAGATTTTCCCCAAAGCTTCACCTCATTTTTGGGTAGTAACAAGTATGCTAACCCAACAAAGCCAAATCCCAAATAAGATAGAGTTGGCTAATTATGCCTTACTAGTATACCAAAACATGAAGGGGAGCCTTCGCGTAACTGGTAAAGTTGCTGCCATGTGACTAGGAGGTCACGGGTTCTAGCCGTGGAAACAACCTCTTGCGTATATGCAGGGCAAGGCTGCATATAATAGACCCTTGTGGTCCGGCCCTCCCCGGACCCCGCGCGTAGCGAAAGCTTAGTGCACCGGGCTGCCCCTTTTTAGTATACCAAAAAATCATGTTTGCCTATTTCAAAATCTTCCCTGTAAGCTTCTCAACTTGCTAGTGTCTAAAAAAGTCAAAGCTTTTACTCCATTAAAATGTCAGAATATAGAACTACATTGAATCGAAAAGCAAAAATATCAATAAGAAAATTTAGAATACTTTGCAACAGAATTTTGGTGTTTTACTGTCCAAGCCTACTTACTAATTCAAGCCTACCCTTTCCTCTCCAATCCATTTCCTTTATCCAATACAAAATAGACCAAAACCCAAGAGTACTAACAGTGTATTAGTGCAAAATATTACATAACTATATATTTCTATGACAGTTCATTTCTCTAGTGTGTGTGTGTGTAACTTGTCATCAAAGAGGAAAGAGCAAATTAGAGGCATACCAAGCATCACAAGCAAAACCATATAATGTATCAGTGGGCACAGCTATAACTTTCCCAGCTTTGATAGCTTCAATTGCCTCTTCGGCATAATCTTCTGTTGCAGGACTCACAGAAACTAGCTTAGTCTCCACATTGCCATCACTTTTCTCCAAACTCCAAGCCATTTTCTTCACACTAAAACCGCTCCTACTTGTTGTCCACAAGTTCAAAAATCCAATCTTTTTCACCCCTGCCAAAAAAAGAAGCCAAAAAGTTTAATCTTTGTTATGTCTAAGCAAAACTGGAAACAGAAATTATAATTATAAGAAGAAAAGGGAAGAAGACTAACGATGAGTGTTAATATCAAAGAGCACCTCGAGAAGGGTGAAATAGAGAGGTGAAGTAAGGGAGAGTTTGGGCTATTTTTCTGGGTGTGGTGGCGTTCATCACTCTTCTCTCCCCTGCAACTTTCCTCTATTTATCTTCTCTGCAGCGTCCAAAACCTAATCAAAATAGTTTCTACTGCTTAAAATTTAAAAAAAAAAAAAAAACGTTGCCGCGTTAAATATAGCGCAATATAATACTGCGCTATACCTGCTCATTAAAAAACCCTACTCCTTTCACCAGCGACAGAAACAGACCCCTTCCACCATATTTAAAAATACTGAACCAGCGGTCGCCCCCCTTTTTTTCTCCAAAAAAAAATACGAGTGGATTCCATCCGTCACACAAAAAGTTAAGATTATAGGTCATATTCTAACCAAAACTTTTATTGTTGTGATTTTCTTGTTGCGGGCTCAAAATTTTAATTAATTGACTTTTCTGAAAACATAAATCGATGTATTCCTATTTAATTTATGTCGAAATTCGTACAATAATGCATATTAGTTGTCTTGAATAAATTTTCATGTTGTTTTGTTTTTTGTTTGCGATTAAGCTAGTATGTTATTTTTATCCGGATTAAGATATTAGTGTTTTAAAAAAATATTTAAAAGTTGAGAAATTATTGTTTTTGTTAATAAAAATGTTCATAAATTTCTTTTACTGTTTTATATGTAATTTCGTGAATGTTATGTTACAAAAATATATTTGTTGTTTTTATTTAGTTTAGATTATTTATTTGCTTAAAGACTAGTGCCCTTTTAGCGTAGTAAAATGTAGAGCCTTTTAGCGTAGTAAAATATAGAGCCTTTTAGCGTAGAATAACTGTAGTTTAAGTATCTACTATATTGATAGATCAAACACAAACTCTGTCCCATTACAATTTACAAAAATTAATTATTTAATTTATAAAACAAAAACATAAAATTATGAAAATATTAAAATTGACACACATAAGAATAAGAATTCAGGATAGCTTGGTGCTACTGGGCCTCAAATATCGAGCCTAAAACCCATATGTATATACTCTGTCCAATTACAATTTACAAAAATTAATTATTTAATTTATAAAACAAAAACACAAAAATATTAAAATTGACACACATGAGAATTCAGGATAGCTTGGTGCTACTGGGCCTCAAATCGAGCCTGAAACTCATAGGTATATACTCTGTCCAATTAGAAATTAATTATTTAATTTACAAAACAAACACACAAAATTATAAAAATATTAAAATTGACACACATAAGAATTCAGGATAGCTTGATGATACTAGGCCTCAAATATCGAGCCTGGAAATCATAGGTATATACTCTGTCCAATTACAATTTACAAAAATTAATTATTTAATTTATAAAACAAAAACACAAAACTATGAAAATATTAAAATTGGCACACATAAGAATTCAGAATAGATTGATGCTACTGGCCTCAAATATCGAGCCTGGAACTCATAGGTATACTCTGTCCAATTAAAAATTAATTATTTAATTTACAAAACAAACACACAAAATTATAAAAATATTAAAATTGACACACATAAGAATTCAGGATAGCTTGGTGCTACCTGGCCTCAAATATCGAGCATGGAACCCATAGATATATACTCTGTCCATTTAAAAATTAATTATTTAATTTACAAAACAAACACACAATTTATATTGTTTAATTTACAGTAGACGACATGGACGTGCCGCCTGTGCATCCTGGACCTTTCTCCGATGAGCTACTAGTGTTACAAGGCGATCATAGGTCCGCCTACGTATGGGAGGGAGAGCTACTGGCCCAGACTCTCCGCGCTAGGAGAGTGGACGACTTGTGGGACTTTATGAGGGACAGAGTTCCATCCCCGTGTAGTCCAGCGCCTGCGGGATACCGGCTTTTATAGGATTTTTGAGATTGGGCGGTTGCAGCTCGACTGGTCTCTGATCACGGCCTTGATAGAGCGGTGGCGACCGAAGACGCACACTTTCCACCTGCCCGTTGGCGAGGCTACCATCACATTGCAGGATGTTGAGGTTTTATATGGGCTGCTTGCTGATGGACTGCCCGTTGCACTGCCTCAGGGTATGAGATATATGTCGCGTGCCCAGTATTTGGACTTGCTGCAGCAGCTCACTGGTTTCAGGCCATAGGATGAGACTGCACATTCAGGGGCCAGTCGTATGGGTTTGACAGCTATTAGACAGCATTTGGAGATACTGCACCCCGACATCACCGACGAGACAGATGATCTACATATTCACCGGTACACGAGGTTGGTGCTGCTCCTCCTTTTTTTTTTGGGCGGGGGGGGGTCTTGTTCCCGAACACTTAGGGAAATCTAGTGAGTTTGCGATTTCTACATCATCTTCAGTTGCTAGATACTTTACCCCAGTACAGCTGGGGTGCTGCTGTTCTCGCTTGCATATACAGGCATATGTGCCGGGCGAGCATGGGCACCCAGAGCGACGTATGTGGTTTTCTGCCGCTTCTACAGGTTACAACATATTCGAATACTTTGTTCATTACTTCCAATTCTATATAGTCAAAATTTATCTTAAACTTTACGTCAACTTTGTATGTTAGGTCTGGGCCTAGGAGCGGTTCCTGCAGTTGCAGCCACCTCTACCACCATTACCTATGGATGTAGCACCTGCGTTTCTCCCTCTAGCTAGGAGGTTGGTTCTCCAGCGTGGAAATTACCGAGCCATCGATGCTCATCATAATCTCCCCCTTGTCAGGGATGTGTTGGATATGCTGGAGGGCGCACAGGTAAATGTGTACCTAAACTTACTTGCTATAAATTCACTTGTGTTCCGCATACTCACTTTTATGTTCTTATTTGATAGTTCATCTGGACGCCATACAACGACGACTTGATAGGTGGCCTGCCCGATTATTGCTCGGCCGGCCGACTGATTTGGAGCAGTTCCGTCCCGCTGATGTGCCTCGATATTGTAGAGCATCATGCCACAGAGCAGGTACTTCGCCAGTTTGGCCGTCCGCAGTATATACCGAGAGGGCCTACATAGGAGGCTACACATTATCAGCGGGATGATCGTTCGAGGGCGGACGACGCATTTGTAGCATGGCTAGAGGCGCAGGTCCATACTTGGGACCAGCGAGCTGACTTGATTCCACCCCCACCTTCATAGATCCAGACAGCGACTATTCAGATCTATACGTCCTGGTACCGCAGCGTTACCCGACTTCTTATCGGGAACCCTTTTCATCAAGCTGGCGGCCGGTACAGACCATACGCCGGGAGGCACGAGGCACTGGTATGTTATTTGGTATTCTTACTTATAACTGTGATATAGCGTTCTGTAATTAATATTTTAAATGTTGTGCAAGCTACTGGTCATCATTTATTCTACCAATTGGGACTACAGATGCAGCAGCATGCCGGCGATCCTGCGGTCGCTTTGCGGGAGTATGGCCGGCGGGTGACAGAGCTGGCTCTCCAGACACTGCAGCGAGCAAGAGAGGGCGAGCGGTTAGATCACGACCCTGATTATGTGGCGCCAGAGAACCACCATCGGGGTAGGCCTATCGCACACCCGAGGGGACGGGGACGAGGCATGGCTGTCCCACGAGGCAGGGGTGCCCCACATGGTCGTGGGGGCCGGCGAGGAGGTGGTCCCCAGCAAGGGGGCATTGAGGCACCTGATGAGGAGGTTGGAGCTGATCTGCCGGGTGACATTCCTCAGCCAGACGAGCATCCCAGCAGCATGCCATCGTACAACCTTCAGCTGGAGCTGCCAACATCGCAGGTGACCCCGTCAGATCCACTGTTTCTTATTAAGGCTTCATCCCAGCCCGTCACAGAGGCCACCTTGTGCGATGCTGAGGACACCATGGATGCTTATATTCAGGAGCTCGACGAGACCATGGTAAGAAAATATTTTTGACTTAACACGTACATTAGTAATATACATTTTCATATACTGAGCTTACTTATTGTTTTGTAGGTTGCTGATGGACAGACGACCCCTTCTACCGATCCTACCAGCCCTACCGACGATCATGCTGCAGCACATCCTCATATAAAGAGGCGACATGATGAGGATGATCCTAACAGCGTATCCGGGCGGGAGGGGATGCGCGTCAGGCCAACGGCTGCATTGAAGCACACAGGTTGTGGGACACATTGATTTTCTTTTTTTGTATTTTATGTAAATAATCAATTATGTAAATAATAACATTAATTTTTATGGTTCCATAACATGCGCATTATGTTTTTATTACCCCGTTTCTTATTTATTTTAACACCACGACACAAACACAAATGCAAACATAGAAACTTAGCATAACTTAAATTCAGTCCAACTAATGAAAATACATGACACGGAAACATAAAGATACACTACTACGCTCAACACGTACATGTCATTGTTTAGTCACCACCGCTAGTATTCTCTGCTCCAACCACTTAAATTTTTCTTCCAGCTTACTTTTTTCTTCTTCCACCTCTTTGAGTTTCTCCTTCCACTCTGCAACTTCTCGTTTGTATTGTCGCTCTCTTTCCCACTGTTTCAAGGTCAAATAATAAAGATACTGCAACTTTTCTTTGTAGTGTTCTTGCTGACAGGGCTCATCAATCCATCTCAAAATTGCAAACAGGTTCGTCGGGAACCCTATAAAATTTGTTCATACACACCCAGTAGCGGCATCCAGCTTCACCATCATCCCAACAGTCTTGCATCATGCATTTTTTGCCGCATTCGCACCTTGGTACATAAAAGGGTTCAGACATTTGTTAAAGCGTAAAAAAAAACCTTGTTTTTATGGAAATATTTACTATTGGTTATTGTTAAGCGCAGAAAATAACTAGAATGGGGCTGTTATTTATAGGCAAGGCAACACACAAAACGCAACCGCGCTATATATATATTGACTTTTTCTGAAATAAAACAGCTTTTTCGCAGTCGGTCAGCTTTTCAGACTGATAAGACAACACACAAAACGAAGTATTCAACCGCGCTATACATATTGACTTTTTCTGAAACGAAACAGCTTTTTCGTAGTCGGTCAGCTTTTCAGACCGACAAGACAACACACAAAACGTAGTATTCAACCGCGCTATATATATTGACTTTTTCTGAAACGAAATAGCTTTTTCGCAGTCGGTCAGCTTTTCAGACCGACAAGAAAACACATAAAATGTAGTATTTAACCGCGCTATACATATTGA